AGAGGAAGTGATGTGAGCAAGTTGGGAGGGCATGTGAAGCGTGACCCCACCAGGTGGGAACAGGCACAGCCAGGTGGGTGCCCAGGCTCAAGTCTGTGTGGAGATCCCTGCTGGACAGAAGAGGCCTCAGGGAGCCAGGGTGAAGGCCAGGGCCCTGCCATCCAGGGGCTGCCCATCAGACGGCCACATGGACAAAGATGCACATGACCCGGGCAGCAAGAGGATGCGCTGGAGCTCAGCTTCCTGGCGGCTCCCAGCCCAGCAGCAGGGCAGACCCGGTCCCACCTCTTGGATGGAGCACTGGCCTGCAATTAAATGAGCCCTCCAGGGTCTCCATGCTGCTCAAGGTGGGGAGCCCTTGCTGAGGGTCAAGGAAGGGGTGGGGCACTGCACTGAGGCTGGGTCCTGGGGGCTGGAAGGAGGGTGCCTGGGGAAGAGGAGGCAGCAAGAGGAGGGGAGGAGCTGGAGGGGCCAGGTGTGCAGGAAGCAATCAAACGTCACGGAGGACCCTCTTTCTGCCCATCGTTCTCACGGTGCAGTCCTACAGAACTGGTGGAAGGACCAGGCTGTGGGCAGAGAACTCCTGGAATGCAGTAAAGGAGCCAGGGGCCCCTCATCTTCCATCTTGGACCTTGTGACTTGACTCTGCTTTTCTGGTAAACACCCTTTTCCTTTAGAAATTTACTACAGGAGGTGTCTGACATTCCTCCAAACGCAGACTAGTGAAGCTCCTCTCTCATTGCCCAGTGCACAGCTACCCTGAGGAACAGCTGTCAGTCCTTCAGAGGCCAGGAGATCCACCACATGAACGTTTGGCAGGGTTGTGGGGCCTGGCCTCCCCTTCATCCAAGGGGTTTGCCAACTGGCTCAAGCCCGGGAGTTGCTGGAGGGCTGACTCCATCTTGGCAACTCTGCTCGCTTGACCTCAAGCTCTTTTGCTTACTCAGAACAAGGAAGACTCATAGACTTCTGTGTTTCACTCCTGGGCCACCGTGACCAAGTCAGACTGGATAAGCCCTGCTATGACTCTGCTGGCCACTATGGTGCCCACACCCACCCTGGGATCCATTCCCAGCATCACTTTCATGTGTCCCCAGTCCAGTGGTAGCAGTTCCCACACAAGACGCAGGCCTGGACCTACAGGAGGGGTGGTCACAGGCTCATCAGTGTGCCAGGGCTTCCCTCACAGTCACAGGGAAGGGTGGGTTCTCTCGACAGGCCCTCGGTGGGTGGCTGGGCCTAACATGATGAATCCACTTGGACATGCCACTGTCCCTAAGCCTTTGGGCACCTTCTACAGTAGGCAGGTCTGGCATTTCAACTTCACTTAGCGAAGGCCACCTCTGGGTCCATGTTTCAGCCACTGTTTGATCTTCCCTAACCCTCAAGCTGAGACACTGAACAGTCTCTGCACACTGGGCGCTATCACTGATTGTGATGGTTGTTTGTGCATCAACTTGGCTGGACCTGGTTGAGTGGCCGGGCAGCTGGTGGTAGTTACTCCCCACGATGAGACTGGCAGTCAGCTCCATGGTGGGATCTACCACAAGCAGCCGAGGAGCTGCCTTTGGCATGTGGCCTGCTTCCTGTATAGAAGGAGAAGCCTTGGGAATGGTCTCTAGCCCGTGGCATGCTTGGACCCTGCGTGTAGCCGTGTTGTTGCTCAGCAGCCTGCTATGCTCTGCCGACCTTGGGACTTACAATGGACTTAAGTTAATGGCCTGCCGTGTGGTTTGGTAACATCGGGACTGCACCTTTTTACTTGTCAACCTTGGGGCTTGTCAGCCTCAGCAGCCAGCAGCTGTCTGAGTGAAGAAATGCCTCTAGCTCCAGTGGGCCGGGAGCAGGAGGCAGAGCTGGACCTCAAGGTTGAGGGGCTTTCACCCAGCCCCTAGAGCCTGGCACCTGAACTTGGACTTAAAGCCTCCAAATTTTAAGAATAAACTCCTGTTTGTTAAGGCCATCCCATTGGTGGTATATTTCTTGTCAGAACAGCACTAGTTAACCAGAACACTGATCAAGTTCAAGTTCCTTCCACCACTATCCCACACCTTCATGTTTATTCCACATAGTCCCTGGATTATCTGCAGACATTAGAAAACACCTGTAGTTCTTCTGGACAGCAGGTCACCTCAGCATGGGTCACACTTTGGACCTCAGCTTTAGGGACCTGCTGGTTGAGTCTAGGTCCAGAAAAGAGGCCCTGGTGGCGTGGTGGTTAAGTGCTTAGCTGGTAACTGAAAAGATGGTGGTTCTGACCCACCAGCTGGCTCTGCAGAAAGATGAGGCAGTCTGATTCCACAACCATGTCCTGGAAGCCCTACGGGGCAGAACTGTCCTATAGCACCACTGAGGTCAGAGATGACTCGGCCACAGGGGGCCTGGTTTTGGGGTGCATGGCTCCAGGAGGAAAGCAGAGATGTGGGGTGGCTACTGGAGACAGTCAGCAGCATGCAAGGCACCTGCCTCGGGAGAGGCCGTTCCAGCTTCCTCCTCAGCCACGGCAGAGGGCTCATTCTGCCAGCAGAGATGACCCCGAAGACTCTGGCGTTCAGTGTCCCCAGCTTCACCAGCATCTGCCCGTACATCCCCATCCCCATCCCCATTTCTGGAACCCCCTTCTTTAAGCAGACACTGTGAGGCTGAGTTCAGCTAGTGGTGTGACTCAGCCATTCCCAGGATGAGGCTCTGGGTTTGGTTTTCAGCAAACTCAGTTCAGGACACACAGAACTTCCATGTCCTTCTTGTGTCATTTGAGGTGGGACTTTGGAGCCCTGAGCTCATCCTCTCCTTTCCCCACCTTCTCCAGCATGGTCAGGAGCCATCAGGCAATCTCACTTTTCTCATCAGTGTGATTACAGCGACCTAACACACCGCAGCCACTCAGAGCCTCAGCTTGTATTCGGAGTGCCCTGTTCAAGCACCAGCTGAGAATGATGCAGCACCAGGCAGTGTTCCCTGCTGTTGGACAAGGGGTAACCATGACCTGGAACCAGTCTGAGAGCACCTAACAACACAGCAGAGACCTGGTGGTGCAGTGGTTAAAGCGTTTGGCTGCTAACCAAAAGGTTGGCAGTTTGAATCCATGAATTCTCCACAGAAGAATGAAGTGGCTGTCTGCTTCTGTAAGGATGAAAACCAAAAACCCAAACTCACTGCCATCGAGTCATTTCCAACTCCTAATGACCTCCAATGGGTTTCCGAGGCTGTAAATCTTTATGCAAGTAGATCACCCTGTCTTCCTTCCACGGGAAGGAATTTGGTGGATTTGAACCACTGACCTTCCAGTTAGCAGTGAAGTGCCTCATCCACTATGCCACCAGAGCCTGGGAAACCCTCTGGGGTGGTTCCACCCTGTCCTCTAGGGGCGCTGTGAGCCGGAATCGACTCCATGGCAGTGGGTGTGGTTTGGGCTTTGCTTCCCTAAAAACTGAGCTTTTGAAACCCTACGGGATAGTTCTACTCTGTCCCACAGGGTCACTGTATGTCATCATTGACTCAGTGGCAGTGGGTGTGGCTTTGTGGACCTAGTAGCCTACTTCGCACTCTTCTTGGCGCATCACGCCACGGCCTACTGGAGCTCTCTCCTGCTGGGGTTACTGATAGCTCTAAATCTAACCATTAGGGAGCAGGCAGATGTTAACCAGCATGGACCTAACGTAGTCCCCATGCACGTGGCACTGTGGGACCTTGAAACATGCTAATGAGTGGAGCCAGTCACAAGGGGGCTAAGCAAATGCAGAAACCACAGGTGCTTCTGGTGACCAGGCAGGAGAGGGACAGTGGAGTCTGGCTCAGGGGACAGCGAGTTCATGTTAATAGGGATGATTGGAAAGGGGCAGGGAGAAGGTCACACACCTGGAAGAACGTGATGTCACTGAACTACACACGTACAAATGGTCGAAGTGGTGTTTTGTGTATTATTTTCATCACAATAAAAAAATAAAGGAAGAGAAACTCTAAGCAGATTAGAGAAGCCATCCTGGAACCCTCCCCGCACCGTCACATGCCCCTTGGCCTATTCCCCAGCAACCTCCTGCCCCCCACACACTAGTTCACAGGGACACTGACCCCACGGCATCGTCTAAAGTGAACACAGCCACTCCTTGCCTCCTGGGGAACCTCAGGCCCCTGGCTGGAGACTGGCTTTCTGCAGACCCCTCATCTGTGGGTCCTGCACATACCCCTGATAGCAGGCAGCCTGATGGGGAGGGCCTGGGGAGGCTCTCAGAGGGTGGCTGCTAGGCCAGGACTCACCTCACCCCAGGCACCACGTGGCAGGTCCCCCCTCTCCAGGTACAAGGGAGGAAAGGAGCAAGGTCCCACTGGCTGTGTCCAGCCTGCAAATACCTTCTCGTGAGCACCTGCATGGTGCCAGGGGCCTGCAGGCGAGCAGGACTGGGGGCCTGGCTGAGTGTCTCACACGTGTCCAGCTGTGGGGGGGTGAGGCCTCAAGTGCACCCTGAGGAGCCAAGCTTCTCAGGCCGTGGAGCCCAGAGGGGCTGCTGGGCAGTCCTGGGCAGCCATAGGCAGTGGGCCACAAGCTACCCCGGCTGACCAGAGACTTCACGGACCGAGTGCACTGTTGTCTCCTCAGTCAGGCGAGCCACCCCAGGACCCTGCACTATGGTTAACGGTTAGCGGGACCCTACCGAGCACAGCACGCGCCTCGCTCAAACATGCAAGACCTCGGCCTGTGGAGACAGAGTCCAGCCTGAGTCCTGGGGTGGGCCCCTCAAAGGAGTGCCAAGTTAGAGGGAGCCCTCCCGGCCCCCTCCCTTTTGGGCCTACAGGCGGACCCCCAGTGTCTGGCCCCACAGCCAAGGGGAGCGATGGGCTGGAGAAGCCCCACCAGGGATGGGCCCTCCCGTCTGCCCACGGGCCTGGGTCCGCCAGGGCAGCAGCAGGCAGCATGGGGAGGCTCACAGATGGCTGCTAGGCCAGGCCTCACCTCACCCCAGGGACCACGTGGCTGTCAGGGCCGGCAGCCTCCGGGGTCAGCGGCTCATCTCTCCCGCAAGAGCCCTAAGAAGGCGGCCTTCAGGAAGCGGCCGAGGCTGCAGAGGGCCGCCACCAGCCAATGAGAGCGGAGGCCCGGGTCCGTGCCGACCACACACGTGAGGACGTCAGTCTGGGAGGGAGGACAGGGCAGCGGTTAGAGACACAGGGCTGAAGCTGGTCCCAGGGAGGACGTGTGGGGCCTCAGCTGCGGCGGGACGACCGTCTGGTCCCTCTGGATTGAGGGTGCGCCCCCCCAGCCCTTCCCACGAAGGGGGTTCACAGTGGGGAGGGCGGAGGCCGCTAGGCCTGGTGCACAGAAAGGAGCATGCCTAGTGGGAAGAAAGCTTGTCCCCACCCAGGGCCTCCAGGGTCCAGGCTGGGAGCCCTGCCCAGCCCCACCCCCACTCCCACCTCAACCCTTGGGCCTGGGAGCCCCACCACCACGCAGCTGCACCCCACCGCCACCCCACCCCTCGTGCTGGGAGCCCCGCTCTGTCTCCCTACTCACCCATCCGCCGCGCCTCCGCAGCCAGGTGGCCAGGGTCTTTCGCACGAACTCCCCCAGGCAGTCCACGAGGGCGTGGACCATGGCGGGCTGGGCCTGCCGTACGCAGTCCACAGCCAGGCCCGCGGCCACCGCATAAAGGGACACCACCTTGCCCCACGTGATACCTGTGGGAGAGATGGACTTCTGGTGTCTGCAGGAGGAGGGAGTACCCTGCTTGGTGGGTCCTTGCCAGACGGGGTCGCTGGGCAGCACCTGGCATCTCCCTCCCGCCAGCCTTTCCAAGGAGGGCCAGGGATGCAGGCCAGACCAGCCCCTCTCGGCAGCTCCTCCCCCAGGCAAGCATCCGGTGGCTGACCAGCAGCCCAAGCTGTGGCCGTCCAGCTTGCCACGGACTAGGCAGTCAGTCCTGCCCCCGTCTCAGGCTGCTGGTTCTGTGGTGGCCCCCACACCCACTGCACACCCAGGCCTACAGCACACCTGGCCACACCTTCCCCCGCCTGCCAGAAGGGCAGGAAGTTAGTGACAGGGACAGAGCGTCCATTCCAATGCTGCTGGCACACACTACCGCAGATGGGAGGCTTCAACCACGGAGCTGTGTTCTCTTGGCCCTGGAGCCAAGAGCCCAATATGCAATGTGGGCAGGGCTGTGCTCCCTGCAGGCTCTGAGGCCTCCTGGTCCCTTCTAGCCAGTGGTGGCCCCAAGTGGCCTACGGCTGTGGCTACACTGCTCCCGTCTCTGCCATCTTCACATGGCCAGCTCCTCTGGCTGTCGCCTCTTCCGGGGATGCTCATCACTGGATTTAGGGCCCACCCAGACAACCCAGGGTGGGCTCACCTCGAGGCCTCACTCAGGAGGAACTGCCAGCATGCAGCCAGCTGCAGCAGCATGGAGGTCAGCAAGGGGGACACTGAGGCAGGGGCGCATGATGGAGTGCTGAAGCCCGGCCAGCCGGGGAGGTGACCTGGGTACCAGCACATGCTACAGCACGCAGCCGCTTCAAGGGCACACACATGTGCGGCCCTGTCCTCCTGTCCCGTCGAGCCGTCTCCAACCTCATGTACAGCAGAATGAAACACTGTCCGTTCCTGCACCAGCCCCACGATCCCTGCTACACCTGAGCCCATCATTGCAGCCACTGTGTCTATCCGTCTCGTTGAAGGCCTTCCCCTTCTTCATTGTCACTCCACTTTGCCAAGCATGACATCCTTCCCCAGGGAATGGTCCCTTCTTACAACATGACCAAAATAGGTGAGACGAAGTCTGGTCATTCTCGCTTCCAAGGAGCATTCCGGCTGCACTTCCTCCAGGACAGATCTGTTAGTCCTTTTAGCAGTCCACGGTACTTTCAGCATTCTTCACCAGCACCACAACTCAAAAGCATCAACTCTTCTTCAGTCTTCCTTTTTCATTGTCCAGCTCTCACATGCATATGAAGCGACTGAAAATGCACAGCTTCCATCAAGCATACTTTAGACAAAGAGACATCTTCACTCTCCAGCACTTGAAAGAGGTCCTTTGCAGCAGATCTGCCCAGTGCTATATACATCATCTGATGTCCTGACTGCTGCTTCCATTAGTGTTGATTGTAGAACTAAGTAATATGAAGTCTTTGACAACTTCAATCGTCTTTCCATTTATCGTGATGCTGCTTATTGGACCAGTTGTGAGGCTTTTCCTTTTCTTTATATTGAGGTGTAATGCATACTGCAAACTGCAGTCTTCAATCTTCATCAGTAAGTGCTTCAAGTCATCCTCACTTTCAGCAAGCAAAGGGGTCTCGTCAGCATATCACAGGTTGTTAATGAGTCTTCCTCCAATCCTGATGCCACGTTTTTCTTCATATAGTCCAGCCTCATGGATTATTTGCTCAACATACAGATTGAATAAGTATGGGAAAAGGATACAACCCTGATACACTCCCTTCTTGATTTTAAACCATGCAGTGTCCCCTTGTTCTGTTCAAATGACAGCCTCATGGTCTATGTACAGGCTCCACATGAGTACAATTAAATGTTCTTGAATTCCCATTCTTCTCAACATTATCCATAATTTGTTATGTTCCACACAAGTAAACATCTTTCTGGTGTTCTTTACTTTCAGCCAAGATCCATCTGATATCAGCAATGATATCCCTCATTCCATGTTCTCTGCTGGATCCAGCCCGCATTTCCGGAAGTTCTCTGTCAATATACTGCTGTTAACCATTTCAAATTTACTCGTTAAATGTTCTCTAAATTTAGGAGGGATATAATCAAAGTCATATTTTGGCTCTCAGGGACTTGTTTTAACTGTCATCAACTTGTCCCCTGAGCAGCCCCAAGTAGGCAGCAGGATACGAGTGGTCAGTTTACATGTAAGGGGACCATGGTCCAGGGTGGATGGGCCTCTCCCCGGCCACTGACTGTGAACTGGGGACCCGTCCACCTCACTGCACTGGGCTCTCATTGGGGAAGGGCTGGCACATCCTAAGGCGGCCATGCCAGGAAAGGTTTCGGAAGAAGGCGGAAGTCATCAGAGTCCCGGATGCTACTGTTCACCTGGCTGTGGGAAGAGGTCTTGGTAAAATGCGACATGCAGAAAGCTCTGAGAAAGACTGACCAATGACAGTGTGGGAAGGGGAACCTGTCATGAGTGTCCTTGATACTAAGGAAATGTAGGTCATGGAGGAAAGCAGGGAAACTCCTCAAAGGACAGACACAGAGTGTTTACAGGTGACCCACAGACAAGATACAACCAGACTGAAAACATGTACCCGCCTGACCCAAGACAGCAGTTAAAGGGCAGTGAACCTTGCTCTAGTGGATAACATCGTACAGCGCTGTCTGGCACAGCCTGTCGACGGTAACCAGGTCCTCACCTATGTGAGATACTAACGGAGGGGATGGCCAGGAGCAACACTTTCTATACAACCCTTCAACAAACCTAAAACTGTTCTGGAAAACACTCAGTTTTTAAAAAGGGGCATGGATATTGTGATCTATCAGACTGAAAACTGAAATGGTGACATGTGAGTTCCAAAAAGCGCCAGCCAGGAAATGTGCAAGGGGCAGTGGGGGCCAGGTGGCCGCTCCCCGAGACACGCATCCCAAGGGCACAGCCCGAGGAATTGCACCTGCATCCGTTTTCCACCAGGGACCAGGTCGCCTCATCTGGAGGCATAAATCAGACCAAGTCACTCCCAGCTCAGAGCCCTCCCCCAACATCCAACCTGAGGCGTTCCCAGACCCCAGCCTCAGCAGAGGCCTCCTGCTGCAGAGCCCCCAGTCCACAGTGCTTCCCATTCCCTGGGGGCCACGCGAGGCTGCCTCCGCCTCCAGGGGTCTCCCAGGTCCTAGTGCCCAGGACCTCATGGCACGGTCCTTGACTATGAGCCGCTGGCCAGTGTGAGCCCCTAGGCTCGGGGCTCTGCTCTGCCCACATTGGTCCCCGTGGTGCCCGGCAGGCCGGGCCCCCAGCCACACCCCCATGCCTGAGACAGGGAAGGGCTTGTGGGCTGTCAGCACATCCCAGCCCCTGGTCATCGCCCGATCTGCCTAGCTTAGACGTTTCATTCCAGGGGCATCACACGGTACACCTGTTCTTTGTGGCAGACTGACGTCAGTCAGCATGAGCTCAAGCTTCATCCGTCTGGTACCCTGTACCCGGACTTCACTACTCTTGGCTGAGTAATATTCCATCACATGCATATATACACAGCACATGCAAGTTCTGGTGGCACAGTGGTTAAAGCACTCAGCTGCTAACCAAAAGGTCAGCAGTTAAAACCCACCAGCAGCTCTGCCAGAGAAAGATGAGGCAGCTGCCTCTGCAGACGGACAGCCTTGGAGACCCTGTGGGCAGTTCAGCCCTGTCCTCTAGGGGCGCTGTGAGTCCGAATCGACTCTACGGCAGTGGGTCTGGTACATTTTGTTTCTCTACCCGTCTGTGGGTTAGCAATTGGGTTGTTTCCACCTTTTGGCTACTGTGAAAAGTGTAGCTGTTAACATGGGAACATGCCTCTCAGGCCTACACCCAGGAGGGGAATTACTAGGCCACGTGGTAACTGTATGCTGAGCTGTTAGAGGTTCTGATCAACTGTCTTCCACAGGGGCTGCCCCCTTTGACATTCACACAAGCAATGGAGGAGGTTCCCAATGTCTCCACACAGTCACCAACACTCATTAATTTCCACTTTTTGGGTCACTGCCTCGCTGGTGGGGGTGGGGCGGGACCGGGTGTCACTGCTGATTTGCGGCCCCGACAGCTAAGGGCGGCGGGCACGTGACCTGCGCCGACAGCTAAGGGCGGCGGGCACGTGACCTGTGCTTGCCCTCAGCTGTGTAGCTTCTTTGGAGCAACACCATTCACATCCTTGGCCTGTTTTCAAATTGGGGCTTCTTTGCTGTTGCATTGTTGGGGTTCTGTGAATATTTCTTCTGTATTTTCCGATCATTCTGTGGTAAATTATTTTGCTCTCGTAACAAGAAAAAAGTAGCTCAGTTTCTCTCCTGAAGAGAGTTTCAAGCCCAAAGGCAGGGCAAAGCTGGGCATGGCATCCGGACGTGGAGCCCAACGCACAAAGCAGCCCGAGGGGCCGATCTGAGAGGCGCTCAGTGGCAGAAGCAGCCGGCCTGCTGAGCGATGGCGGCCCCTCACAGCCCACACGGGCTCCCCATGGAGCCCCACACTCCTCCCCAGTGCCTCTGCTGTTGCTCCGTGGACTCAGAGGGGTCAGGAGGACAGGTCATTCAGACACCCGGCTCCAGAGTCCCTGTCACCAGGCCACCCCAGAGCAGCAACAAGGCCAAGATCGGGGGCTGCCCACAAATGGAGCCGCCAGGTGTAAACTCATCTCCCCGCGAATGAGACCAGCCACCGGGGCCCACCAGTAACAGGCCCCGCCCCTTCGGGGGGCCTCATGCCCTGGACCCCAGAACCTTCCTTGGAGCGTCTGCTCTGTCTCGGCCATCCCTGCACCTGGCACTGCAGGGGAGCGGGCCGCCCTGTCCCTTGCCACACACCTCCCAAGTATCTGCTCCAGCAGGTCAGGGCTGCTTCAGAGACAGCCTTTTAAAGCCAGCTGGAGCCTTGTAAACCGGCTGCCTGACAGCCCACAGGCCCTGGGCACAGACCCACGGCCACCCACGCGCAGGCGCCAGGCCCCACGCACAGGCGCCAGGCCCAGCACACAGCCAGACACCAGGGTACCCCGTTCCTGGGCCCCCCCACTTCCTCCCCCATGAGGCACGTATGGGGTCATCCACCAGGAAGGGGTGGAAGTGGACCCTGTGGACCCTCCCACCTGCCCTCCTCCTCACCCCCCACCAGTGCAAGGGCCCAGCCAACGACCAAGGTGTGTCTCTAGCCCCCGTACAGCCCGCCCCTGGCCCTCCACCCACTGCCTGCCCCCCCAGGCCAACCTGGAGACCTGGCTTGTTTTCAGTCATGCAAAGGTACAAATGGGGATGGAACTCTGGCTGGGGGCTGTTCTGAGGAGCAGGGACAGTGTCCACACAGTCCCCCAGACTGTTACTCACCCGCCGCCTCAGCCACCCACACCACCCCCACGGGACCAGCCAGGGACTTGAGGCACCTGCTCCCACAGATGTAGGCTGGGCCTCTCCAGGACCCCTGCAGGTGCCACGAAGCCCAGGGCAGCAGAACCATGCCCGGTGGACTTCCTTCCCAGGAGCTGGCTCTGGGCTGTAAACACTCGTGTGGGCGTAGTGTTAGCACCTTGCCCTCGCCAGCTTTCTAGCTCCCAACAACCAGAGAGGCCGTCCGGCGGCGCGAGTAAAAGGGGGTGTGGTGCGCTGGCATCCCGCCTGCCATCATGGTCGGAGGCGCCTCCTTGGGCAGGGGACATGGAAAGCCACTTCCTCCCCTTCCTGGTGGAGGGAGTCACCAGACCACTCCAATCAATCTCTGCCCCACTGCATTTTCACGAGGCGGGAGCCGCCAATCCCGCCACGGATGAGGACACCTGAGGACACCAAGGATGAGGAGCCAGACACCCTGGGGGACCCTCGGCCTGGGCTCGGTCCGTAAGTTCATAAGCCTGAGGACATGTTCAAGACCACCTGGAGGGATCTGTAGAGCAGCCAGGCAGGAAGCCCCAGAGCACCCTAGGGGGGAAACTCCAGTCTGTGAAGCCGGCAGGGGCCCTGGCAGAGCCATCAACTGGCTGGCCCTGTCCCCAGGCCTTGGGGAGACGGGCACTCCAAGGAGAGGTAACCGGAAGGCTCTGGGGAGGGGCTGTGACCGGGCGGCCTGGAGCCCATAGGAAGCAAGCAGCAAGAGTGGGTGGTGGGGGCCGATCCAGAGATGGGCAGTTACTCCTCCCGGAGCATCTGGGGACGCAGGAGGGTGTGGCCCGGAAAGGCCACGTGGGAGGCAGAAAGCTCAGGGAGGCCTGCTCCGTCCTCCCAGACACCTCATCAGCCCCCTTGTGCCACTCCCAGCCCCAGTTCGGCCCTCTTCTGGGCTAGGCTGCCCATGACTAGCCTCCAGCCCAGAGTCCAGCAGGACAAAGCCTGACCCTCCTGAGGGCCTGTCAGGAACGCCCGGCCCATCCGCCTGGGTGGTCTGGGGGCTCATTCTCAGAGCATCCCCCAGAACCCCGGGGTCACCAAGCAGGCGCTGACCAACAGCACCCCACACTCCAGCCAAGAGCAAGCCCTCAACAACCTGGCCACAGCCACTGAGGGTCCAAGGGAGCTGTCCAGGGGGCCCCAAGTCACCCTTCAGAACCACCAAGGTGGTCTATCACCCCCTTTCAGGTCAGTTTGTCACTCAGCAATAAATAACCCCACCCCAGAAAGGCAGCAGGCAGCAAGCAGAGGTGGGTCCGTCCTGGGATGCCGAGCTGGGAAGGGTTGTTGGGAAGGGTTGTTGGGGTCACGGGCAGGTCTGGGAGGGGGCTCCTGGGAGAGTCTGGGAGGAGTGCTGGGTGGGGCTGGGAGTGGGCGCTGGGAGGGGCTCAGGGGGGATCCTGGGAGCGTCTGGGAGGCGTGCTGGGTGGGGCTCGGAAGGGTGCTGGGTAAGGCTGCAAAGGGGTGCTGGGGGCTGGGAGGGGCTGGCAGAAGGTCTTGGTGGGGCTGGGAGGGTCGCTGGGCGAGGCTCAGAGGGGGGTCCGGGTAGGGTCTGGGAAGGGTGCTGGGTGAGGATCAGAGGGGGTGTTGGGTGGGGCACAGAGTGGGTGCAGGGAGGGTGTTGGACGGGGCTGGGAGGGGGCTCCTGGGAGGGTCTGGGAGGGGCGCCGGGCTGGCTGGCCTACCTGCAGAGAAGATCTGGCCGGCCACCGCAAGGAAGGCATCAGTCACCACGGTCTCCGACTGCAGGGAGAGGTTCAGCTGCCTCGCCACGTTGCGGTAGACACTGGGCCGGATGAGCTCCAGCTCGTCTCCTGCGTGGGCACCCACGGTCAGAGCCCTGTGCCCACCTGACCCGCCGAGAAGGGGTCCAGCCAGCCCACTCCTCAGCCCCGTGGCCTGCCCAGCAATGGACACCGGCCCTATTCCACCTTGTTCTCCACTTGACCTGACCCCCCCCCACTTGACCCCAACCTGACCTCATGTGACCCCAGCACAGTCCAAGAACAAAGGGCCAGGGAGGTACCATGAGTGTGCTGGGACCTGCCTCCGCAGGGACACACCTTCCCTGACAAGCCAGCCCCCCAGGGTGAGCCGGCTGGGCCGGTGCAGCGGGAATCCTGCAAAGCGTGGGCTGCTGGGGTGACTCATGGCCCCCACCCCAGCTGCCCGGGGGTAGTGGGCCAGGGCCGCAGAGCACAGCCAGTGAGGCCGAGCCTTGGCCTGGCCAGTGGGTGGCCCCACTGCTGCCCTGAGGGCGTTACCGCTGGGCAGTCACCCATCAAGAGGCGGACCCCAGCGAGGCATGACAAGGACTCCTGGTGCCTGCCGGGTGCTGGAGCAGGGCCAGTGGCCCAGGCCTTCCCAGATGCCCTGCTGCACCCACGCGCTGCAGCACACTGCAGAGGCCTGGGCAACAGGTTGCTCGCCCAGGAGGGCAGCACCCAGAATCCTACCATCTGTGCCACCCACCCCAAAGCAAACAGGGGAGTGCTGCCCGCTGGACATCCCAGTGACGGCCCAGGCCTCCCACGGGCCAGCTGCATTCCGTCTAATTAATTAAAACCTAGAGCCGAGAGAGCTGCACTGGGGGGAGCCGTGACATGGAAATTTCCCAAGTCGGTCTGGCTGTTCCCACACTGACTTGTGAGTTGCTGAGAACCATCCCCCGAGGCTGGCCAGCCGCTGGGGACACGACCCTGGCTTCTTGTTTCTTCCTGTGCACCACTGCCCTACCAGGAACCTGGAGGGGCTGAGGGGCAGGGAGACAGCACTGGCTCCAAGAACACTTGCAGGTCCCAGCAACCCCTCAGGGAGCCTTTCGGTCATCTGGAAGGGGCTGAGCCCCAGGCACTGGAAATGGGGGGTGGACACAAAGGCCCATCTCGCAGAAAGCCCAGTCCTGCACCCGGCTTGCCTCCCTTCCCCGACTCTTCTGCCACTCATCCAAAGGAAAGGCAACTCAGAGTCTCTGGGGTCACAGGCCAGAGTAGAACCAGGACCGCCTCCTGACCATTGAGGGGCTCCCGGGGGGAGGGGGTATCTCAAGAGGCCAAAAAATCATCAGCTCAAAGGGGCCTTCCAGAGCCCCCTGCTTTGTTCATGTGCTGGGGCTGGAGGTCTCAGGAGGTCCAGCGAATCAGGCCCTGGTGCCCAGCCCCTCTGACTCCAGACCAATCCCCCAACCCCTGCAGGCTCCAGTCTTTCTCTGCATCTAGAAACCTCCCCCTCCCTCTCGCCTTGAGTTACACCACCCCCTCCCGGAAGCCCTCAGTGCTGTCCCCATGGACTCTGTCTCTTCCTGCCAGAAAGTGACACCTCCCCAGGCAGGCCAGTCTATAGGGGGACACCTCTTATGGGGCCAGCACAGCATGTGGAAGACCGGGTCCTGTGCCAGCCCCAGAAGGGGCAAGGCACACCCTCTCATGGAGGGCTTCCTCTGGGCGCCAGCCCCTCCTCCACACCCCACAGAGCCGCCAGTTCAGGGTGCCCCTTGCAGCCACCTGGTCCTCCTGGCCCTGGCCTTCAAGGGCGTGGCCCTGCTCACCCCCAGGCTCCCCTGAGGCCCCACTGGGGCACCCACAGACGTTGGGGGGGGATGACCCAGTCCTGCCCCAGTGTCAGGAGCCTTGGAGGCTCTCAGGACAGCCACTGGGCTGTGCGTCACATACAGATGTCCACCCCTGCTGGACATCCTGTGGGACCTGGGCGACCCAGCATCCTGCAGAGGGCTCTGGGAACCCTGCAGACCAGAGGAAAGAGCAGCCAGACAGGCCTGTAGCCCGTTACTGTAAGGGCGCATCTTCCAAAGCAAACAGCAGGACACGTGGTCCCACAATGGATTTTTGTGTCCCGCTGAGTACAGAGGTCACGCTGGAGGCTTAGCCACTAAACCCTCATTCTTTCTGGAGCATTCTATTGTTTATGGCCAGAATGTCTGAAATCGGCTGTGCTGGCAAATCTCGAGGTGGGGCGGGGGAGTGAGCCTGCGCGCAGAGAGGCCTGCGGGGGAGGACGGAGACCCCGGCGGGGCGGTGCCTGCCCCTCGGCCGCTCTCCAGCTGCCGGGTGACCAAAGCCCTGCCAGGGAGGACCCACCTCGGGCCCGCACTCACCCAGGCGCAGCAGCACCGCGCACACCTCGGCCAGGCGGCCGCCCGGGGGCGCGGCGCGCTCGGGCGCGCTCCAGGCCAGGCCAGCGCGCAGCAGCCGCGCGTGCACGAACTCCCTGCCGAGCGCCTTGGCCTGGGCCACCAGCTCCTTGTCGGTGGGCGAGCGGTCAAAGGCGTCCATGATCTCCGCGGCGAAGACCGAGGAGCGCCGCAGCACCTCCATGGCGGGGACGGGGGGCGCCGCACCTGCGGGCAGAGAACGCTCAGCGGGCGCGGCCGGAGGGCCCCGGGCAGGCGGCGGGAGGCGGGAGACGGGCGCGCCCGGCCGGGGCGCACGGGGCAGCCGGCTGGGCGGAGCCGCCTCGGTAACCGCTCGTCTCCACGGCCCCAGTCTTCAAACACAGTCCCGTTGCTTCCAGGTTCCGAATTCAGTCTAAAAGACCCGGCCACGCGCCGCCAGAGCGCGAAGGGGCCCCGGGATGGCGATGCGCGCGGGACCCGGCGGCGAGGCGCAGCCCAACGCGCCCGGAACCGACACCCGGGAACCCCGGGCCTTGCCCCGGACGGGGGCCCCGAGCGGGCGGCGCCTGGCCGGCCGCTCTGGCGCCCCCAGCCCTGCGCCTCCCCAGCCTCGCCGTGCGCGCCCCTCCTCACCTCTCCGGCCGCATGGCGCGGGCGCCGGGGCGGAGCTCTGGCTTCAGGACCTGCTCGCCGCCGGCTCTGCAGATCGCTATCCTTCCATTCAAACCCGCGAGGACGCGCGCTCCGCCCCGGCGCCCGCCCCGTCCACGCCCGCTCTCAGGGCTCCGGCCGGCGGCGTCGCGAACGAGGGCAGAGCCGGGAGCACGGCGCGGCTCCCCGCCGGCGCGAGGCAAGGCTTGGGGCTTCGCCTTCTATGGAAGAGGCAACCCCCGGGGGAGGAGTCGCGGAGCCGCGCCCGGAGCCGGCCCGCCGCCTCCCGCTTTAAGGAGGAACGCGCGAGATCCCGGGATGCCGTGGGGAGGGCGCCAGGCAGGCCCAGAGGCGCTGGGAAGTGATGGGGGCCTAGGTGGACGGCACACGCCTGTGTCCACGCCCGGACCCGCTCTGAGACTGGCCGGTCTATGGGCTTCTCTTGGCCACAGCTGTGGGTTCTCTGTGTATTCTGGGTCCATGCCCCTGTCTGCTGCTGCCTGCAAATATCTCCCCCAGGCCGCTGCTGGTGTTGGCTTTTAAGTGCAGAATTTCACTTGAATGAAGCCCAGGGAGTTCTCTTTTCTGGGTAGCATTTCTTCGGGAGGATCTTGGTCCATGTCTTCTTCCCAAAGCCCACTTATTTTAGCAGCCGCCTTTAGATCTACCATGGGAGCTCTGGTAGCATAGTGGCTAAGGCACTTGACTGCTAACCAGAAGGCTGGCGGTTCAAACCCACCAGCCACTCCTCAGAAGGAAGGTTGGGCAATCTACTTCCCTAGTGATACCGCCTCGGAAACCCAAGGAGGGGTCGCTATGAGTCAGGTGCAACTCTACAGTAGTGCGTTTGGTTTGGTTTTGGGTTGGATCTGTGACCCCCGGCAGATGAATTCTTGTGCAGGTGTGAGGCAGGGAGGCAGAGCTCACCTTATTCCACACAGACATCCAGCTGCCCCTGCCCAATGTGTTGACAAGGCCATCCCCTCCCCAGTGAGTTGGAGAAGGTCTCTTGTAATTCCACTGCCTGTATGTTCATAATCCCACTGCCTGTATGTTCATAATCCCACTGCCTGTATGTGTGGAGACCTGTTTCTGGGCTCTGCTTTATCCCACTGGTCCGTTGATAGGTCCTTGACCCATTATCACCCAGTTTGAACAACAGGATTTGTTGGACCTAACACATATAGACTATGTGTTAACTGAATCTAATTCCCATATAGCCAATACCTGATAACTCTAGAATACACAGTACTTCAAGTTCACATAGGACAAAATACAGCATACCCCAGACCCTAAACAAGTCTCAATAAAGTTCAAAGGACTGAGATCATACATAGTTCCCTCTCTGGATTAAGCTCAGTAACAGAAAAGCTGCTAGGAACCCTCCAAAATGCTGGGGAATTGAACATCACATTTCGAAATAACAAATGGGTCAAATAAGAAATCGCAATGGAGGTTGTAAAGTGCTTTCAAGTGAGTAGTGATGAACACGGGCCACTGCAGACATTGCGGGATGCAGCTGACAGTGTACAGAGGGCCATCTGTAGCTTCCAAAGGTTCGAAATCCATTTTATAAGCTTCCCATTCGAGACGCTAGAGGGAGAATAGCAAATCCAGCCCAAAGATTAAAGGAAAGAATAAAAGAGCAGGAACCTATGAAACAAAGCAAACGATATATATGTAGTAAGAGCTCAACAAAGCCAAAAGTTACATATTTTAAAAGATTAACAGAATTCATAAATCCCTAGAAAGATTGATTAAGAAACAAAAAATCTAGTATCAGGAATGAAAGGGGTCATCACTACAGACCCTACAAACACCAAAAGAATGTGAACAACTTTATGGCAATAAATTTGAAAATTTAGGTGAAACAATTTACCAAAACTGACACGAGAAGAAATGAAAACCTGGGGAGTGCTGTTTGTTGGAAAATAAGGTCCTTCCTCCCTGTCGTGGGGAGCCCATGATGTCAGCAGGTCGAATCAGGAGAGCAGAAGTTTCGTTGCGTATCGAGACCCAAGGGGACAGTGAGAATCATTTCTCTAAAATGTCTGTCTCCCGGAGCCAAGGGGTGAACATGATTCTACAAGGAGATGGGAAGGGGGTGGGGGATCCATCGGAGCCCCCAGGAATGGCTTTGTTCTTCTCTTCCCTGGTTACTCCAGACTCAACGTCCCTCTTCCCAGGGTCGTCTGGCTTCATGGGGTACCGTTCTCAGCTGAAACTAGTCTTGGGAGAAGGTTATGCTTAGAAGAATACATAATTGAAAATAACAAACCTAAAGAACTGGGCGTCCGTAAAGAGGTCGGCTGTTCTGTTTCCTTAAAGGAAAAGCAAAAGGGAGGGAAAACAGCCAGTTAGTGACTAGGATGAGTGTCTGCTTTGATCCTGCTGCTGGTCCTAAGTTCTGTACTTTTCAGTGAGGGGCCCTGGGCCTTCCACCTCAGCCTCCCACAGTGCCATGTTGCTGTGTGCCACCGAGTCAGCCCCGACTCCTAGCCAGCCCGCCTCGGGTTTCCGAGGCAGTATCACTACGGAAGTAGATTGCCCAACCTTCCTTCCGAGGTGTGGCTGGTGGGTTTGAACTGCCAGCCTTCTGGTTAGCAGTCAAGTGCCTTTGGCACTACACTACCAGAGCTCCTCCACAGTGCCATAGCAGTTAAATTTAATCCAGAATTAAAAACCTTCCCACAAAGAAAAATCTAGGATCAGATGGTTGCACTGAGAGAGGTTTCTAAACAAGGAAGGAAGTGTTCCCAGTCTGACCATCTCACACAACGCCCCCCCAATAGAAAATGGAGGAACACTCCTAATCCAGTTTATGAGGCCCACGAGGTAGCATTGAACCAACACTTGTCAGGAAGGGGCTATCGTGTGTCTCTGTGCTCTACTTCCGCATCTAGGGAACAGGGACAGCAACTAGCCAACCTCCTGGAGCTGGCGACAGGCCTGCACTAGTGACTCCCTTGTAAAGAGCTTTGCGAATTCTTAGCAGGTTTGCAGAAGAGTGATCAAGGTCTAGAACACAAGACCCTGCTAATGGAGAGTGGCGGGGCACCGCAGCCAGGTGGCTGCGTGCTTCTGAAGAGCCCCCAGATTGAGGGTCCCTGTAATTCACAGATGGAAGCAGAGAAGCGGGGGTGGGGAGGTGCTCCCCCCCCCCCCGGAAGTCCATGCAGGACTGGGCGGGATTGTGGACCCTGGGGTCTGACTCCAAGAGCTCCAGAATATTCCTCCTGCAGGGGGGGACCTGCACCTGCAGGCAGACAACCGGACTGCACCCCTGCTACCTTCCCACGGCACAGCCTCAGGCAACTTCCTGCCCCACTCACAGCCTCAGTTTCCCCCTAAGAGAAAGGGACCTTACTGCTGCCCACCTCCTGGGAGCAGAGGAAGGAGGTTGTGGGCTCCAGTGTGGGAATGGTTAGGAGCAGGAATAATTGAAAAATGTGTATGTTTCACACCGCCCCTTCCGTCCAGTAAACCAGAGACCAGGTCACAGGCTAGGATGTTCCCTGCAGAATACTGACAGCATTGAGGAACAGGCAACAAGTTTATCAGAGGCAGAGACCATCAGGAGGACCCAGACCACAAACCCTCATCTACACCTTTAAACGCCTGGGGACGTGGAGTCAGCTGAGCTCTCCCTGCCCCTTGTGGCCTGGAGGAGGCGGGCCTGGCCCCAGTGCTCTGATCTCCTGAGAGCAGTTCTATTCTGCTCACCCTTGGCCGACTCTGTGCCTCCTGGAACCCTCGCTTCCCACTCTCCTTGCGTCTGACCCGGGTCTCTGCCCTGGTGTGGACTCTCGAAGGCCTTTTGAGTTGGTTGCTACCCCTGCAGCGTAAGGCCTCTCATGATTAATGGGGGCAGGCTGGCCAGGAGCTGTCCTGTTAGAAGCTGGGGATGTGTCTGCTCCGGCAAGAGTTCACCCTTCCCTCAGGGCTGAGCTTCACCTCCAGGTCACGCTCCTCCTTCTCCTTGGATTTAAAGGAGCTGCCTTCCTCTCCCCTCCCCCTGAACTCCCTCCCCTCTACCCTAGGAAGGTGGGAGGCCTGTGTTGGGCAGTTGTGTCCCCTGAGCCCAGAGCAGGGGATCCCTCCCCTCGTTGTTGTTGTTAGGTGCCGTTGAGTCTTCTCCGACTCATAGCGACCCGGTGTACAACAGAACAAAACACTGCCCGGTCCTGTGCCAGCCTCACAATCCTTGCCATACCCGAGCCCATCATTACAGCCACCATATCAATCCATCTCGTTGAGGGCCTTCCCCTTTTTCGCTGACCCTCCACTTTACCAAGCATGATATCCTTCTTCAGGGAATGGTCCCTTCAGACAACACAACTAAAGTAGGTCAGATGAAGTCTGGCTTCCAAGGAACATTTGACATGAAGCTTCTCGCTTCCAAGGAGCATTCTGGCTGCACTTCTTCCAGGACAGATCTGTTAGTTCTTTTGGCAGTCCATGGTTCTTTCAGCATTCTTCGCCAGCACCACAACTCAAAAGCATCGACTCCTCTTCGGTCTTCCCTGTCCATTGTCCAGCTCTCACATGCATATGAGGCAACTGAAAACACCATGGCCTGGGTTAGGCGCACGTTAATCTTCAAGGAGATATCTTTGCTCTTCAGCACTTGAAAGAAGTCTTTTGCAGCAGATTTGCCCAGTGCAATATGTTGTCTGATGTCTTGATTGCTGCTTCCATTGGTGTTGATGGTGGAACCAAGTAATATGAAATCTTTGACAACTTCAATCTTTTCTCCATTTATTGTGATGCTGCTTATTGGTCCAGTTGCGAGGATTTTCATTTTCTTTATGTTGCGATGTAATCCATACTGCAGACTGAAGTCTTTAATCTTCATCAGTAAGTGCTTCAAGTCATCCTCACCTTCAGTAAGTAAAGTTGTGTCCTCTGCGTATCTCACTGCCATCCAGTCGGATCCGACTCATAGCGACCCCTCCTTGGGTTTCTGAGGCAGTATCACTATGGAAGTAGATTGCCCAACCTTCCTTCCAAGGAGTGGCTGGGAGGTTTGAACCACCAGCCTTCTGGTTAGCACTCAAATGCCTTAGGTACTACATAAGCAAAGCTCCT